TCAAGAATTCCACCTGACCTCCTGTTTCTTGCTAAAGACCGCCCGCAGTGATATACCTCACTCTCTCTCCTCTGTGAACCCATACTTCTACATGTTTATCAACTATAGGCTGCATAATACATTCTATTGTGGACTTGGCCACTGGCCTAGGTAGTGAAAAGGTTCATTTCTTCTGGCAAAGTTCCTGCATAGAAATGCGTTTTACGACATGAGTTCTCATGAAAACTGTGAGACTATCGTCAAAACCATCTAAAACAAATCGCACCAAGCTTTTCCCCTTTTAATTTTAACCAGTTTCCTCAGCTATTCATCTACTGAATTCAGGTGAGATGGATATTCTCAAACTATCGTGAGTGAGTTTGCTGCATTTAAGACCCACTTTTTCCCTCAACCGGAGCGGCACCCATTGGTAGTCTCTGTCGAGGCTTCTCATCTCATCCCTCTCCTACATCCTCCCCTTCAACAGTACTCTTCCAGATTCCCGAGGACCTTCTAACCATAAGAACCTGCCCACATATCGCTTCTTAGCTTCTGAGGTGCCTGCCTCACATACTACTTTACTCCCCTAGAGACCTTAATATATTCACTGCAGTAAAGTAGCTAGTAATCCTAAGGGCACCATTCTTTTTCCTCAAGCCACCCTGATAGGCTCTATCTCCTGTGCCTTTCAAAGGCCACAAATCGTTCAATTAAATTGGTGAGTTGTTTTCAATTCGTTCTACGTCTGCCATGCAGTGTTCTTCTTGAAACTCATTCGCTTCCCTCATAGATCGTAGCGTTCCCTTCTAATCATGGCAGATTAATGTAGGGAGACTCTATGGTAGAAGTTAACTTGTCTGCTTGAGTGAGAGCTAAGACTCTAGCATTTTAACAGACTGCAGGTACTGCTCATAGGGTTGCACACTGGACTTAAACCTTAACTGTGGTACTGACTAGACTTCTGTCCCTCATATGAAGATGTACCACTTCGTTTGTCATGGGTGTGCCACTTACTACTGTCATGAATTTTTGTCTGACTTTCCTTTTACTGTAAAAATTAGCGATATTAATGTCTGAGAGGGAAATCATAGTAACTAAACCCGGAATTCCACCAGCTATCTGAGGGAAATTTGTTCAACCCAGCCACTCAGGCTGGGTACTTGCTCAGAGGAAAATCTTTCGCTTCCAAGGATGGTAATAAGCATGATTATAGAGGCAGAACAGTAAAACATGTGTATTACCCTATTCCTGACCAAATTTCCTTGCCAGGGGTTCTTTATTGCGCATTCGTGTCGAGAAACACCCACTCAACTATACTGACACAATTTGGCGGGACGTGACTTGTAGTTGTTTCTGAAGATTTCCCAACTACAGATATAGCCGTTGCCTGCTTGATCAGGAGATGTCCATTAGCTTCAATTCATTTAAATGAGTATAGGTCGAATGCTTTATCTGAAGATGTGTTGCTAGTTCAAACCACTGGCTCTTCAAATTGTAAGCAGAGTCTAGCCAAAGAACCGCTTGAAAATATTTCTAAGACCCCGTACTTTTCATTCTCATAGATTTTAATATGGCATTCAGTGAAGAGCCATCTGTTCTCACGTGGAACTTGACTTTCTTCGTTCACCCTTTTTACAAAATCCTAGCCCCTTTTCCCTTTTCCCTTTAGCTTCTCTTCCCCTTGTGCCTGGTTGTTCCTAAGACTGCCCTCTTGTGAGCTAACATCTGGGCTGTGGGGCTATCGCCTCTCTCTTGCTTTTTTATTCCAACGCTTTTTTCTTGGCCCATTGGTCCCCCACCCCCAACCAGTATCTGATTCATTAGCTTCTTTTTGCGTTATTTTTCTTGTGGATAAACCTTTCCTTCTGTGGGAGAGTATTCCCTCTTCCTTTCTGCTCCTGATATTCCACATTGCTCTTTCTTCACTTCCCTCTTCATCGGTGGCAGAAGAAGACCCATCATCAGGTTCCGTTCCCCTCCCCTCCATTTGATGAGGCCTTTGTTTCTGATCTCTGTCTTGCTTCATCCTCACGCTTACATCTGAATCCCATTCTTCATTCTCAGAGTCTTCCTGAGTTGTGCCTCCATGAAGATGTGTGGCTACTTGTTTCCTTTCTGATGATACTTTCGTTTCTCTTGGTTCGTTTACCAGGTTGTGTATTTCTTTTCTTGAGCCTGAATCTACTCTCAGGTACTTTCCTTTGCTTGCTTTATTTGTCGCTTCATTGAGCTTTCTGTTCCCCTGACCTTTGGATTTGGTTTCCATTTTTCTTTTTCTCCTTACACTTTTTACCATGTCAATTCGTTCTCTGTTAGGGGGAGACTCAGTAGTTACTGAGTATATTTTGGACGCTTTGTGTCCCTAAAATCTGAACGGTCTTCATTGTCCATGTATTTTCTTTTCTTTGCACTCTTACCCCTTATAGACTGCTTATCAGAGGATGAGATGGAAAGATGCTCTTTCATTGAACTGATTTTTTCCCCTGAGGCGTGCTTTACTTTCTGGGATTCTTGTTTTTCTTTCTCAGGATTGACTTTAGGCCTTTTCTCATTGTATTTCTGTTTTCTAACGTAGTCGTGACTTGTGACTTCACTTCTCTCTTCACTGATACTGCAGAAGAAGACTCATCTTCAGATTCTAATTGGGGTTTATGAGGCGTAGTTTTTCACTTACCTCTGGATCAGAATCTTGCTCCCCCTCATCACTAGCTTCTGCTGCACCCTCTACAGACGTATCTGTGTGTCTTACTTGTGATGCTTTGCGTTGCTTCTTTACAACAATTTCTGATTGATCACGTGACACCTTACCTTTTAGTGGAGCCGATTTCTGTCCTTTTTCTTCATTTTCGTACATACGGGCCTTTTCACTACTTTCTACCTCTTCTGAGCATTTCTTACTCAGTGTCGGTTGCCTCTCCCCAGAGGAAATATTTATTTTAGTCTCCTGATGCCTGGCTTTGTCTGAAATCTCACGATTGAGATCAGAGCGATGGATATTGTAGCTGTCATGAATGCTGTTGGCTAGGCGATGAGCACCTACCGTTTGTGATCTAAGTGCCGTGACAACTTCACCCCAGGTGAGCGGTGGTACTCCATTTAAACGAGCAAACAAAACTTCAAGCAGCCGGTCATCGACATTTTTGTGATCGGCTTCAATACCTTGAATTGTTGGCAAGTCCACCCCAAGCTGTAAACCAAGGTATCTGTACTTTGTTCTTACACTGTATAGGGCTTCATATAATGGCTTCAAATCATTTACACCCAAGCCACCACTGTGTGATGCCGCATGGCTCGATGATGATTCAGAGGCCATTATTACTCGGCCACGCCCAAAGATTGATACACGAACCGCGCGCTGTAAATGTTACATAAACCAGTATAATAATTATTATACCTGACGACTTGGCTTGGAGCAATCGAGGGGAATAGGAAGAAGGAAGCCGACCTGGCGGGTCACTCTGACCTGTACACAAAAACGTATGAAATTGCACAAGGTTGGTGTACCGGCGCCCACCCAAACAAACTGCGCTGGACGGAAGCGATCGTACACACAGTGGGTGGAGCTCTATTCCAACGCGTCCGTGATTCTCTGCATTTCTCCGTATTCTTGAACATCAGCCAAGTCGGCGACAGGAGGGCGGCGGCTCATTTGATCTCAACCGACGGGCGTATAAAGAAAAACTGAAAGGTCGCGGAGCCCAAAGCAATGCCGTGTGCCTGCGACTATTTACGACCGACGACTGGAAGCTGGCATAACAGATGGCGAATAGCTGAACGTGAGAGATAGCCGAGAGAAAACTGCGTCGTCCTCGGTTGTAGAGATTCGTACTCGTGTGTTAGTTTGCTGTTGCGTTGGGTTCTAGCCGAGACCGTCAGTTTATGATGAGTGGTTGGAGCTGCTACTTTGTCTCCTGCTGTGCATTGCTCTACCTCCTCATCCAGCCACAGAGTACTGGTGAGTTAGCTCAGTATAATTATTATCTGTCAATGTCTGTCTACACACCGCGCTCCCTTGCGAGAGAGCCGTGGAGGCTTCGTTTGCAAAGATTCAACGTTACTTGGTGCACGTTTCTGCTCGGTGTACCTCTCCGTTAGTCACGCCGTCCGTTGTATATTGGAGGAGCTAATAGACAATCAGCTTGGTATCCTGTGCATGCTGAGTTAGTGTACGTTTGTACTAGCTACTGATCTCTGTTGGTTTAGCTGTATCTATAGAGTTGCTGCAAATAAAGCAGCTGAACGCAGTGTGCAGGCTGCAATCTGATGCACATGCTGATAAAGTATTGTTTATCATCCATTATAATAGTAGTCAGCCAGCCACTGCTGACTTTCCCTCCCTCTCCCTGCTTCTACTAACACTGACACCACAACATGCGTCCATCACAACATATATTCAAACGTTATCATGTAACCATAACTCGTTGCAGCGAAATTCTAAGCCACAGGTTCTGAATACAGGGGCCTTACAATACACTGTCCAGCCCCTAGACAATTGTCTAGGACATTATGTCACTACTTGTTGAACTGGCCTCAGGGTCTCATTAATCTTGCCCACAGTAAGTGTGGATGACTGTCTGTGTGCAGTGTCTGTAGCTGTAGGGGTAAACGTTATCTCTCAGGGAGCATGTCGTGTTTGTCTGTTAAAAGACCTAATGCGGTTTCCAAGTCCATGGTCCAAACTATGACACCATCTCCAGCATATGTTGTCTGCATATAGAGTGGAGGCCCTCAATAGAGATCCAGCAGACGCACAGTCTGGTACCACTATTTATAATGATCAGTGGCATAATTGGAATTGTTTGGACCCAATCATCTCCATTACCCGGTGTAATTAATCACATTTGTGTCAGGAAGGAGTTTCATTAATTAGACTATAGATAGGTATGTATATCAGGGACCTATGTACTGTTACATTGGGGCATAGACTGTCTGGCACACGACACTGTTCCTCTGTGTCTGATAAGTGGTTAACTCCCACGTTGCCTTAATTGATTCGGCTCCTTAATCACTATCTGTTGACGAACCTCAGCTAGGTTGCTGAATAGATCAAATCTTTGTTGAAAACACACACAAAGACCATTGGCTATCATTACCTGAGATATTGCAATGAAAGTAAAATTGTTTCTCACAGTTTTAGTGCTGGTGCTCTTGGCCATATCTATCAGTTACAGTGTATGGTGGAGAGTGAATTATGTTAGCGGTGGATGCTTGCCATTCCAGTAGTTAGGTCTATAATGACAGATGATTTACTACCATATCCCTGGAATGTAAGGTGCAGCATGGACCCTGCCATGTACCACTGGCGGTGTGTGTGTGTGTGTGTGTGTGTGTGTGGCTCTGTGCTGGTTCTCTTGCTTGGTACATTGATGCAACCTAATAAGTCTTGTGTCACAGTAGCGTTAAGCTTTTGTCTTGACATTTTACCTTGGTCCAATCGAAGAGTATTTAGTAGTTTTTGGAGGGTAGAATAATGTGTGGAAAAGTGCATTCTAACAAGGAACTGACATGCGGTTACATAAATTTTGGTTACGTTAACCGGCTGAAGGTGAAAAGAGTTGGGTCAGACTAGAGAGAGAGACAGTGCAGATAGTAGTCTTTCCTACTGCCCCTCCCCATGAATACCGTTCACCAATTACCACTCAGTCTCCCTACCTGCCAGCAATGAGTTATACAATACATACAGTACTAGTCTGTTGGCTGGTAGACCAGTCTCTCAATTACATTAGAGAGCCCCCTGCAGTTAAGACAGGATTATTGGCACAGCTGGTTCTGTGGATTAAGCCATTCAGAATGCCGGATATTGCTCATTAGTGAGGAGCCCGCTTGATTAATATCGCCCCTGCTCCTTTTACAACTGCCACTGTAACTCTTTGGCAACGGGGGAAAGTCCATTACTAGTACATACCTACTTGTACCTATATAACATCTGGCACCATATTATATGTAATTCAAATGGCTTTGTTCAGAGACTATATACCATTGCCACGTGTCCCTACATCGCTCACCATTCAACTGCCCTCGCTATAATAATGTTAACTACATCACTACAACCCTATGTAATTGTCTTATTGAGTCACTCAGTACTGCACAGTCTGTGGTCAATGTATGTATATGCACGTGTTGCCTCCAGGAGAGGTTAATTACACCCTTTAACCCCTGAATGCCCAGTCCATACCGCTAGAAACATGACCATTCGGTCACAGGTCACATGCAGACCAGGTCAAAACTAATAGACGTACTCATTCTAACTTCAGCAAAATTAATTATTATGCCTTTGCCGGTATGTACATACATGATTTGAGATAGACATTTGTTCCTATTAACTGTAGTAGACTCACATGTGTGTGGGATTTTAGACGGCTGCCGAGGTTCATGATTCAATTATGGCACCAGTGTAATCACTTCCTCCATACTGACTCAAAGTAGAGAACTGTGTATATATACAGTACCTCATTCTTCTTGTCATGTGGAGGAGGTGTGTGGATAAGAGGTAGGGGAGGAGAACGATCATAAAATTAGACTTTTTAAAATGCCATTTTAGTTGCTGTGTTTTACAATGGCTGACAGGGTTATGCAGTGGTAACGGTACCCTCTCCAGGAACAACCCTGAAATGAGGACACCTATCTCTCACGCCCCATTGGGGTCCAGACTAGAAAGGCTCTACTGTAGAGATGTGTATTACGGTTGTGTTTGTTGTTGGTGCTCCACCACTGCAGACTGGATGTCTGGGTGTCCTGTTACACATGAGAAGCTCCTGTTTCATTTGTACTTGGCTAGTACACATGCCACATGGCCAGATGACTTGTCCCATGTTCAAACTACACCCAGACCCCCTGCTCTCTTACATCCATTGGTCACTGGACCAGCACATGTCTACAGCCATGCTGTGTATACACTGCACTCTAACACAACTGTATATACATGGCTGTTTTGTGGTGGTAGGGTTGCCTAGGCAATATACCCTCTAGTAAACATGCATGCATCCAGCCCACTCACTCAGTCCAGTACATATTATCCCAGCACTACATCCCCGCACCCTGTAATGATATTTGGCAGTTTGTGCCATGTGTCCGCCTATGTTGCATGTCTATGGCAGTATATCCTCAAAATGGATGTAGACTGTACACTATTAGAACTTTGGTAGACACTCTCTGATACCTGGCAATGTGTGTGCATGAGACATAATATTGAGGATGGGTCTGTAGCCACTTATCCACACACTGTGTCTGGGAGCTGGGCACTGAGACATGTTGGCCAGAGACGGGGAGGTGCAGAGGAGAGGAAGGTCACACGAGGTCAGAGGAGACTCCACAATGCTGGCTAGGTGCCCCCCCCCAGGTCTGTATATACATTTCCTGCCAGTCTGTCTTCCTCTCTACTGGTATGTCACCCTTTGTGTTGTGGGATAGACTACCTGCTTTGCCCTCTCTACACTCTTGCTATACTAAGATGCTCAGTGGAAGTAATACTATACACTGTTTATACCTATCTGTGCTATGTGTTCCACTTTGACCCTTGCATAGCTTCACAAGTGTCCCTCAATGAGGTCCGTGTCACTGTATACCTATTACCTAACACAATGTCCCAGAGTGTGTGGGTTCTGATGTGAAGTGTGTTTGTTTACATGCGATGATATGCATCAAGAGCAGGTGTGTAGTTTATCGGCTCCGATCTATGTATGGCCTTCCCCGAGACGAGATTCTTTGGATCGTGTATTCGAACGACTGAATTACATCGTAACTGTATAGGCACATGTTTTTGTCGCATTATCTCGTAGCTATTACAGCATTACCGACATGCCGGCACCTCTGCGACTACAGGATGTATCTTATACAGTTGGGAGGAGGTGCCGAAACGCTTGTGGTTTTAGCGGTATTCGGACCCATAGAAACCCATCCTTTGGAACGCTCTGACAAGGCAGTGGAGGAAACGGACTTTGATGTCTTCTCAAGAACACTGATCTGTAGGATCCAGCTCTCTTGGGAGAAGGGAGCGGAGTCTGGTGTACGGGTTAAGACTCTGATCAAAGGCCGACAGATGCATGCCTAATCAAATGCTCGGTGCAGCCACTCTGACTGGCCTTATTACTGGCTGGAAAGATCGCGTAATGTAACCGAGCGTGTATGGAATTGTTTCATGCACTGTATTGCGCTCCTACAGTGCACAGTCTAATCTTAACACAGAATGGAAAACACAAGTTATATTCTGTGATGAGATATACTGCTGTTATAAACCACCATATTTTGCACCTTCAAGAATCATGGCCACTGTGATACAACCACGACAGCCTCTGCTAGTATCATGCGTGCAGTAGTATGTGTACTTTAATACTTGAAGGTAGTGGAATTCAAACAGTAGATGATGCACTGGAATTAGTTGATGACGCACTTGGTGTTGTTTGGCTGTTTTTCTGTGTCTTGATGGCATTCCTCTGCTCTGTATTGCCTTGTATTACAGCTGCATGCCAGGATTAATTACCCTGCCCTCGGAATGTAACTGGAATTCATTTCCATTGTCTCCTGGAATGCAAAGTAGGCGTCTAGGAATGAGGCCAGTTGAATTGACTCATGAATATGCAAATGAGTCAGCCAGCCAGCGTGCTGCGTTATTTGATTGCTGGTATGCTGAAGGGAGGTGGGACGTCTACACTAGAGTATGGCCACAGCCAGTGTGTCTGGTGTACTGACTGCTATGGCTTTTGGGGTGGGGGTTGAGGTCAAACTGTCTGCTGCCCTGATTCTTCTTGTGACCCTGATACCCACCAGGGTTGTGGGGGTAACCCAAGTTTATTAATACTTTTATTGCACCTCAGACTCACTGACTCCTGCAATTATACATAATATAGACAATACTTTATTACCTTACACTATAAGAATGTACTAACAATGCCAAGTGAAAGACTTTCAATAGTCTAGAGTCTGAGAGAGTACGTAACAATTTCTAAGTGGTAGTTC